ATTTATTTCGTCTAAATTAAATCACGCCTTAAAAGAAGAATGTCATCTTTTAAATATTTTAATTTCTCGAATGTTCTATGATTTCTTATTTCATTTTTACTCTTTTTAACCGCCAAAAAAGATCAAATAAAAACCACTGAAGCTTTTAGACGTTAAGATGTAAGATATGTAAAAAAGTATGTGCAGTATGTTGGGGAAATATTTTCCAAGGCCCATAACTTTGACCCAGTTTATCAGTTCATGTCCTGACTGAGCACACGCACCTGTTTGGCGTCAGCTGATAGAGGGGTTATGGTTCTATGTTCCTGCCTGTTGGCGTCAGCTGATAGAGGTGTTATGGTTCTATGTTCCTGCCTGTTGGCGTCAGCTGATAGAGGTGTTATGGTTCTATGTTCCTGCCTGTTGGCGTCAGCTGATAGAGGTGTTATGGTTCTATGTTCCTGCCTGTTGGCGTCAGCTGATAGAGGTGTTATGGTTCTATGTTCCTGCTGTTGGATCAGCTGATAGAGGTGTTATGGTTCTATGTTCCTGCCTGTTGGATCAGCTGATAGAGGTGTTATGGTTCTATGTTCCTGCCTGTTGGCGTCAGCTGATAGAGGTGTTATGGTTCTATGTTCCTGCCTGTTGGCGTCAGCTGATAGAGGTGTTATGGTTCTATGTTCCTGCCTGTTGGATCAGCTGATAGAGGTGTTATGGTTCTATGTTCCTGCCTGTTGGCGTCAGCTGGTAGAGGTGTTATGGTTCTATGTTCCTGCCTGTTGACGTCAGCTGATAGAGGTGTTATGGTTCTATGTTCCTGCCTGTTGGCGTCAGCTGATAGAGGTGTTATGGTTCTATGTTCCTGCCTGTTGGCGTCAGCTGATAGAGGTGTTATGGTTCTATGTTCCTGCCTGTTGGATCAGCTGATAGAGGTGTTATGGTTCTATGTTCCTGCCTGTTGGATCAGCTGATAGAGGTGTTATGGTTCTATGTTCCTGCCTGTTGGATCAGCTGATAGAGGTGTTATGGTTCTATGTTCCTGCCTGTTGGCGTCAGCTGATAGAGGTGTTATGGTTCTATGTTTCCTGCCTGTTGGATCAGCTGATAGAGGTGTTATGGTTCTATGTTCCTGCCTGTTGGCGTCAGCTGATAGAGGTGTTATGGTTCTATGTTCCTGCCTGTTGGATCAGCTGATAGAGGTGTTATGGTTCTATGTTCCTGCCTGTTGGATCAGCTGATAGAGGTGTTATGGTTCTATGTTCCTGCCTGTTGGATCAGCTGATAGAGGTGTTATTGTTTCTATGTTCCTGCCTGTTGGATCAGCTGATAGAGGTGTTATGGTTCTATGTTCCTGCCTGTTGGATCAGCTGATAGAGGTGTTATGGTTCTATGTTCCTGCCTGTTGGATCAGCTGATAGAGGTGTTATGGTTCTATGTTCCTGCCTGTTGGATCAGCTGATAGAGGTGTTATGGTTCTATGTTCCTGCCTGTTGGATCAGCTGATAGAGGTGTTATGGTTCTATGTTCCTGCCTGTTGGATCAGCTGATAGAGGTGTTATGGTTCTATGTTCCTGCCTGTTGGCGTCAGCTGATAGAGGTGTTATGGTTCTATGTTCCTGCCTGTTGGATCAGCTGATAGAGGTGTTATGGTTCTATGTTCCTGCCTGTTGGCGTCAGCTGATAGAGGTGTTATGGTTCTATGTTCCTGCCTGTTGGATCAGCTGATAGAGGTGTTATGGTTCTATGTTCCTGCCTGTTGGAGTCAGCTGATAGAGGTGTTATGGTTCTATGTTCCTGCCTGTTGGATCAGCTGATAGAGGTGTTATGGTTCTATGTTCCTGCCTGTTGGATCAGCTGATAGAGGTGTTATGGTTCTATGTTCCTGCCTGTTGGATCAGCTGATAGAGGTGTTATGGTTCTATGTTCCTGCCTGTTGGATCAGCTGATAGAGGTGTTATGGTTCTGTGTTCCTGCCTGTTGGATCAGCCGATAGAGGTGTTATGGTTCTATGTTCCTGCCTGTTGGATCAGCTGATAGAGGTGTTATGGTTCTATGTTCCTGCCTGTTGGATCAGCTGATAGAGGTGTTATGGTTCTATGTTCCTGCCTGTTTGCGTCAGCTGATAGAGGTGTTATGGTTCTATGTTCCTGCCTGTTGGATCAGCTGATAGAGGTGTTATGGTTCTATGTTCCTGCCTGTTGGATCAGCTGATAGAGGTGTTATGGTTCTATGTTTCCTGCCTGTTGGATCAGCTGATAGAGGTGTTATGGTTCTATGTTCCTGCCTGTTGGATCAGCTGATAGAGGTGTTATGGTTCTGTGTTCCTGCCTGTTGGATCAGCTGATAGAGGTGTTATGGTTCTATGTTCCTGCCTGTTGGATCAGCTGATAGAGGTGTTATGGTTCTATGTTCCTGCCTGTTGGATCAGCTGATAGAGGTGTTATGGTTCTATGTCCCTGCCTGTTGGATCAGCTGATAGAGGTGTTATGGTTCTATGTTCCTGCCTGTTGGCGTCAGCTGATAGAGGTGTTATGGTTCTATGTTCCTGCCTGTTGGATCAGCTGATAGAGGTGTTATGGTTCTATGTTCCTGCCTGTTGGATCAGCTGATAGAGGTGTTATGGTTCTATGTTCCTGCCTGTTGGCGTCAGCTGATAGAGGTGTTATGGTTCTATGTTCCTGCCTGTTGGATCTGCTGATAGAGGTGTTATGGTTCTATGTTCCTGCCTGTTGGATCAGCTGATAGAGGTGTTATGGTTCTATGTTCCTGCCTGTTGGATCAGCTGATAGAGGTGTTATGGTTCTATGTTCCTGCCTGTTGGATCAGCTGATAGAGGTGTTATGGTTCTATGTTCCTGCCTGTTGGATCAGCTGATAGAGGTGTTATGGTTCTATGTTCCTGCCTGTTGGCGTCAGCTGATAGAGGTGTTATGGTTCTGTGTTCCTGCCTGTTGGATCAGCTGATAGAGGTGTTATGGTTCTATGTTCCTGCCTGTTGGATCAGCTGATAGAGGTGTTATGGTTCTATGTTCCTGGCTGTTGGATCAGCTGATAGAGGTGTTATGGTTCTATGTTCCTGCCTGTTGGCGTCAGCTGATAGAGGTGTTATGGTTCTATGTTCCTGCCTGTTGGATCAGCTGATAGAGGTGTTATGGTTCTATGTTCCTGCCTGTTGGATCAGCTGATAGAGGTGTTATGGTTCTATGTTCCTGCCTGTTGGATCAGCTGATAGAGGTGTTATGGTTCTATGTTCCTGCCTGTTGGATCAGCTGATAGAGGTGTTATGGTTCTATGTTCCTGCCTGTTGGATCAGCTGATAGAGGTGTTATGGTTCTATGTTCCTGCCTGTTGGATCAGCTGATAGAGGTGTTATGGTTCTATGTTCCTGCCTGTTGGATCAGCTGATAGAGGTGTTATGGTTCTATAAGGGAAATATAATATAAGATAATAAACTATGTAAATATAACAGACACAAATGTACCAAATAAATCTGAGAAAATCCGACACATGAAACCAGAATAAATTACATTAAATATCATTATTAATTACAGACTCTTTTAGAGCTGCAGTGTATGCATATATATATATATATATGCATTCTGTAATACTCTGTAATACTCTGTAATAAGAATTCAAAAAAAAAAAGTGATAATTTTGAGAATTCTGACAATTTTCAGAAAAAAAGAGAATTTTTTAAAAAGTGAGAATTCTGAGATTTTCTGAAAAAATCCAGATTTTCAGGAAATAGTCAACATTTTCAGATTTGTTAAAAAAAAGTGAGAGTTTTACGATTTTCTGAAAAAAGTGAAGATTGTGATTTTCAGAATGAGCATGCTCTCACCTGTCGGTCACCATAGTTTTGAATGATACTGATTATTTTTCTTATTATAACTTTAATATTTAATATACTTTTAAAACAGATAACAGGAATACAGTATCTGTAGGTTGTGATGTTACTGTAGAAGCATCATTTCATATATATTATTTTCTTAATTGTTTAAATAATATATTCTTGTGTTTTTTAACATCACTTTTATTACTATTTGTTCCTTTTATTATGTTATATTTATTACATTTCCTCTACTTTACAGTTCTTGTGATTTTAACCTTTTTTTTAGACCTCCTTCACACACACACACACACACAACACACCACATACACACACACACACACACACACACACACACACACACACACATACACACACACACACACACACACATAATTCCTTTAAATGAAATCACTGATATTAGTGTATATTATATTATATTATGTTTGAAGATAAGATATATTTAGTAATCCCTAACTGGGACACGTTGTCGTTGCAGCAGCATGTAAAACTAAGCATTGCTCATAAATACAAATAAGAAAGAGTAGAAAATAAGCAATTATACTTTTATGTTAGTACAATATTCCACATGAGAATATACATGATTATATTTAGTACACGATGTGAGCAGAACCCTCACCTCTATTAGATCACACTCTGCTCACGTGTTTCCTCCCTTTTAAACTCCCATAATGCACATTGTTTTCTCTCTGAATGCATGGAATAGAAACAGCAACAGGTGAGGAGAGAAAAAGACTTTATGCAGATATATTATAACAGTCTGTAACATTTCAAAAACATCATTTCAGTTCAGTTTGATCAGAATGAGGAAGAGGAGAGGAAGAGGAGCCATGTGCTGTCAGACAGCGCCCCCTGCTGGCACACACACACACACACACATACCATGTATACATCACTTCAGGGGACATTACATTGACTTACATGCATTTCCTGGAGACTTACCCTAACCTTAACCAACACATGCCTAACACTAACCAAGTCTTCACCCTAAAATTAATGATTCCCCTTATGGGGACCTCCATTATGTCCCCATAAGGGGGGCGAGTCCCCACACGTGACTATGTAAACAGATTTAGGTCCCCACAAGTATAGTAACGCTAGGCCACATACACACACACACACACACACACACATGCACACACACATACACGCACATACACACACACACACACCTACACACACACACACACACACACACACACACACACACACACACACACACACCACACACACACACACACAGCCTTTGGTCATGAAGTCAAACGCTTCAAACACTAAAAATCACCTGAAATGAATTGTATTTATTCTATTTACATGTTTACAGACTCCTGCCTTCACTTCCAACTCTCTGCATCATTCAGATTATTGTATTTATTTATTTATGACATGTTTATAGTTTACTTCATCTGCTTTATTTCACGCTATTTGAATTACATTTTTAAACGTGTCTTATATATATCTGTAGCCTGGCTGGAGGAGCTCCAGATGTTCGTGGTCATTTCTAATCTGCTGCGATACAGAAAATACAGACTTTAAATCTCCTTTAAATCCGGGCTATCTGACGTGGACGTACTGAACTCTGACGTGGACGTACTGAACTCTGACGTGGACGTACTGAACTCTGACGTGGACGTACTGAACTCTGACGTGGACGTACTGAACTCTGACGTGGACGTACTGAACTCTGACGTGGACGTACTGAACTCTGAGGTGGACGTACTGAACTCTGAGGTGGACGTACTGAACTCTGACGTGGACGTACTGAACTCTGAGGTGGACGTACTGAACTCTGACGTGGACGTACTGAACTCTGACGTGGACGTACTGAACTCTGACGTGGACGTACTGAACTCTGAGGTGGACGTACTGAACTCTGAGGTGGACGTACTGAACTCTGACGTGGACGTACTGAACTCTGAGGTGGACGTACTGAACTCTGACGTGGACGTACTGAACTCTGAGGTGGACGTACTGAACTCTGACGTGGACGTACTGAACTCTGACGTGGACGTACTGAACTCTGACGTGGACGTACTGAACTCTGACGTGGACGTACTGAACTCTGAGGTGGACGTACTGAACTCTGACGTGGACGTACTGAACTCTGAGGTGGACGTACTGAACTCTGACGTGGACGTACTGAACTCTGACGTGGACGTACTGAACTCTGACGTGGACGTACTGAACTCTGACGTGGACGTACTGAACTCTGACGTGGACGTACTGAACTTGACGTGGACGTACTTGAACTCTGACGTGGACGTACTGAACTCTGACGTGACGTAGAACTCTGACGTGGACGTACTGAACTCTGACGGTGGACGTACTGAACTCTGACCGTGGACCGTACTGAACTCCTCTGCCCGTGGACGTACTGAACTCTGACGTGGACGTACTGAACTCTGACGTGGACGTACTGAACTCTGACGGTGGACGTACTGAACTCTGAGTGGACGTACTGAACTCTGACGTTGGACGTACTGAACTCTGACGTGGACGTACTGAACTCTGACGTGGACGTACGTACTGAACTCTGAGGTGGACGTACTGAACTCTGACGTGGACGTACTGAACTCTGACGTGGACGTACTGAACTCTGACGTGGACGTACTGAACTCTGACGTGGACGTACTGAACTCTGACGTGGACGTACTGAACTCTGACGTGGACGTACTGAACTCTGACGTGGACGTACTGAACTCTGACGTGGACGTACTGAACTCTGACGTGGACGTACTGAACTCTGACGTGGACGTACTGAACTCTGAGGTGGACGTACTGAACTCTGACGTGGACGTACTGAACTCTGACGTGGACGTACTGAACTCTGACGTGGACGTACTGAACTCTGACGTGGACGTACTGAACTCTGAGGTGGACGTACTGAACTCTGAGGAATCATTCATATGTTTTGGGGTTTTATGTGACTGAGTTTCTGTCTGTTTCTTTTTTTAAAGTCAGACGCTTTCTTCTTTTATGTGATTTGTTTCATGCAAAAAAAAATGCTTTTTAAACAATTTTTAGAAACGAGATTATTTGGAAATATTCCTGGTAAAATACAATTAAAAAAGACTTTCCGACTTAATTTGAAAAAGCTTCTCCAACAAGACAATGATCAGGAGGACGGTCTGATGAAAGCACAACATGACCTCTTCCTGTTTCTCATTTGACTTTTGGTCCAACTTCCTGTTCCTCTGGGAAGAGCTTTGGGACATTCAGAGTTCAGAGGTCATCAGGACTGAATGCTTTCATTTGGTCCGTTTGGGGTACTCTTGTACTTGAGTAAATGTCCTTGGTTACTTTACACCTCTGCATTTGTTCATACGTTTTTAGATATATATAAGAAAGCATATTTTTTGGTGACCCCTGTCAGATCGCTAACATCCGGTCACATGATCATCTCTCACATCGTACGTTTTCACGTTTTCATGTTTTTAAAGTGTTATTGATTACTTGGGAAGTTTCTCAGGAGGATGTAAATAAACACAATGAGATCAGATGTTGATTGTTTACAGGTGTCTTGTTGATCGTGGTGGAGGTGTGTGTTCCTCTCCTCTCATTGGTTGGTGGCTGTGATGATGCTGCTGTACTGTTTCTGCTGCTCCTCTCTGAACGAGTCCTTCACCTTCCCTCTCTTCAGACCCCCGTCCCTGAGACACACACACACACACACACACACACACACACACACACACACACACACACACACATATACACGCACGCACACACACACACACACACACACACACACACACACACACACACACACACACACACACACACACACACACACACACACAAACAAGCAATTAAAAAAAGCCCAACTAAAATAACAATTATATTACCATTTGAAAATTAAAACAGCATTTGAAATAGTAGAAGTATTTACTAATTTAGTGCAATATAGTAGTATTTAGTGCAGTATAGTAGTATTTTCTGCAGTGTATATATAGTAGTAGTATATATATCCTCACCAGTCCAGGTCCAGCAGCCCCCCCTGCTGGGCGATGGCAGACTTCACTCTGTTAGCAAACTGAGCTGCGTCCTCCTCCTCCTGCAGAGACACAGGGGGTTAACTATCAGAACATATAGATATATATCAATATATTTACTGTAAGTAAACAACATATAAAGAATATGACATATCAAGGGGAAGATGGGTAATATCAGGAGCAAACTAAAGGTGTACATTAATGTAAAATACTCCTGATAGATTTAAGTCTTTCTACGATACCTTTTGTCAATCTAGGGCAGGGGTCAGCAACCTTTTTGATATGACGTGCCCTTAAAAAAAAAAATGTGATCAGTGTGCCGACGTTTGTGAACTGTCAAGGGGGGGGGGGGCTGGGGAAAGCTCCCTGTGCGTCCCCTGTGGACCTCTGTCGCCTGTCAGCGCAACTTACATGATGCCGTTTAAAACAATTCAAATAAAGGGCGGTGGCGGCCGTCAGCGAGCCGTGCCGGCCGCTCTGTGATTCTCCAGAACTCACAGACGGCCAGTCCGCCCTGTGGAGCATCTCCACTGGGCTTTCAACACAAGACACAGCCACGCACAAACTGCGGCATGTGTACGGCTCTTTATGGGTTCTGCAATTTGTGAAGTGCCGGCGTTCCGGTGCGCTCCGGCAGCACTACAACACGTGATCATTTCACCACGGAGGAAAGCAGCAAGTCAACTGGAGTTAAAGAGAGCGGGGCCTCGAAGTGATCCTTCTGCGCTGCGATGTGTGCATGGCCTCCTTCTGCAGTGGGAGACGCGCTCCACTTAGTCCTCGTGTGCCACTGGTTACGGTGCCTAGGGTTACCAACCCCTGATAGGGTTTAAGTCTCAATACCTGTCTCTCCATGGGGGGGGGGGGGTTGTTTACCTGTCTCTCCATGGGGGGGGGGGGTTGTTTACCTGTCTCTCCATGGGGGGGGGGGGTTGTTTACCTGTCTCTCCATGGGGGGGGGGGTTGTTTACCTGTCTCTCCATGGGGGGGGGGGGGGGGGTTGTTTACCTGTCTCTCCATGGGGGGGGGGGTTGTTTACCTGTCTCTCCATGGGGGGGGGGGGTTTGTTTACCTGTCTCTCCATGGGGGGCAGGTACCACACGTTCACCACGATGGCCCAGCTGGTCATCATCCTCAGCACGTAGCTCACCATGTTGTATTTCGAGCTGTTCCAGAAGGCGTCTCCGAAGCGAGCGTCGTACTAAACACAGGAAGTGGATTTACAGACAGGAAGTGGATTTACACACTCTAAAACAGGAAGGTAATAGAGCGGTGCAGGGAGGACGTGTTCACCCTGCAGGAAGCTGCTGGTTCCCTCGACTAAAAAGCTACGGGAGTTCTCCAGAGGATTTAGGAAAATAGCTGGAAATAATGTCTGTGGAAACTAACCTGTTTGATAAATGTTTTGTTCATCCAGATAATCTCCACACGTCTACCCTACTTTTATAATGTTGGAATCATAAATCTAAAGTCCAGAAGCTAAATGCTAACGTGATGCTATAAAGGAAGTACAGGCGAGTCCAACAGCACGACTTCAACGTCACGCCAACTTCAGATCCATATTCAAACACACAGATTCTAAATGGAACGAGTTGAAGCGTTTGTTTGAACAGTTTGCAGGAGGCAGGGACTTGCTTTCAAGCTGAACAGAAACAAACTTAGAGGAGTGTTTACGTGTTCGGCGTAATGACGTACAACGTCCTCCACGACTTCTGTAGTCCTATTCAGCCACTTGGTAACAACCATCGTTTTTCAGACACGTCAACTCTTCAGAAATCACCAGTGGGGTCACTGCTGATGGATTTAATGTCCTAGAACAAAACGTGACCCGTCTCTTCAAAGTGTCTCAACCACAGACCTTATTTACAGATATCTTTCTAAATCCTATGGAGAGATCCCATTGGCTCTGAGACCAGGGAACAGGAAGTGGTGAAATGCTGACTCACTTCCTGGTTTTAGGACTCGTTCCTGCTCCACTCTATAAGACGTGTTTGTTGGTGAGTGTGATGGAAACTTCTGGATCAATGGAGATGAAATTCATAGAGAAATGGGGAGAGCTGGAGCTTTGATGGAAAACACTGAAGGTTCATTATGGAGCTTCGGCCGGAGAATTCACAAAACCAATTCTGAAGATCTCTTCTGTAGTTCGAGGTTTTAATTAGGTCAGAGGGTAATTATCAACATTCCTCATCAGCGAGACTCAACAAATATGGACCCTGAATCGAACTACAGCTGTCGTCCATAGAAAATAATACGTTCCAGAAAAGAAGGGCCTCTTGATGTCTCTGAACAATAAACTATCTCATGGCAGCTTGTGCTCGGTCATAAACAACAACAATGATCCCAAGCTCCTCCCCCTTAAGAGAGATAGCAGAAATACCCAAGGCCCAGACCTATGCCATGGGAAAAGAGAGAGTGAAAGGAGAAAACGATGAACTGTGTCAAAGGTTGAAAACCTAAGCAAATGATTCCCCGACAGGTTGGTGTTTGTTTACCTTGATTGCGACCGGGTAAATGGTCCCTCCGATCTCAAAGCTTCCTTTCTTAAACATCATCACTGACGTGTTGTTGACGCACGTTCCTGTTACACACACAGACAGAAGTTAGACAACCATAACATCATCTTCATCATCATCATCATCATCACCATCATCATCATCACCACCATCAGACTGACCTTCAGGGAATATGAGGATGGGGAGTTTAGTCCTCGCTGCAACGTGAGCTCTCAGCCTGCAGACAGAGGGCAGGTCTTTATGAGTTATTTACACTTCCTGTTCAAACATGATGGTGTTAGTTATTCTGGTTTAGCGCTGTAACCATCACTGTAATGGGAATCGTTCCCAGCTTCACTGCAGAGATTGGATGGTTTTCCAGCATCACATCCACCATGAGTCATTGTGCTACTTAGCTAACTAGTTATTGTTTGCTATCTATCTTACAAGATGGCTAGCTAACGTTAGCACTCTCTGTTACAAACCAGCTACTGTTAGATATCTATCTAAGATGATGGCTAGCTAACGTTAGCAGTAGGGAATGGAAATCTGACGTCATCAACAGCAAGTTGTCAATCTTTGGAGGATCTAGCGAACAAAACCTATTCACTTAAACTTAACAGCTAGATATTTGTTAGCTAGCAAGTAGCGTGACAAATAAGTTGAAGCGTTATGTTAGCTGTCTATTTATTATTAGCTATCTGTCTAAAAAGAAGGCCAGCTAATGTCTGCCATCTATATAGCAAGCTAAAACTTAAAGTGGACCTATCATGCTATATTATAATAATATAGTGTAGGACCATACCTATATAAGGCATATTTATACTTTTTTTTTTTCAAAATACCAAACAGATCATGCATTTTAGCCATGCCTCATTTCGCTCAATAGAGAGGCGAAGTCCCTCCCCTTCCGGTGGACCTCCATGGGACCTTATTTCGGAAAAAGTATGTATTAAAGTCAATGGAGAGAGAAAGATTATCTCTGGATCCCGTTTGAATTGAGCCACGAATTACACATATGATGTTTGTCAATCTAAAAGATAATTTTGCAAGTAAAAAATAAAAATGTGTCGTAAAACTGTGAAGTAACACTTTGTGTGTGTGAAACCGCTCAATGAGCTACATCTCCCGTCTCGCACCACACACCCAGACGGCCGTCACGTTGCCACATTTCACTTCTCTCTTTCAGAATGAGGCGGAAAGTATTAAAAGAGGTGAAAATCACTCCAAGTCTGGGCATGTTGAGAGCTGTACATACACACAAGGGGAGTTAGTCGGTTCCTAAGAGCCAGCATGCGGGACCGGGACTCTGGGATTTGTAGTCTTTCTAGTTGCGTATTTTTCATAGTCTTATATTTCAACAGTTTTACGACAAACTGTGACTTTTTTGACATGGAAATTATTATTTAAGATTGACAAACATCATATGTGTAATTCATGGCACAATTCAAACGGGATCGAAAGATAATCTTTCTCTCTCCATTGACTTCAATGCATACTTTTTCCGAAATAAGGTCCCATGGGTCGGAATTAGATGGGCGGGACTTCGCCTCTCTATTTGAAAAATGTTAGCTCTGTTTTTGCAAGGGTTGATTCTGTGAGCAACAGCACCATCTAGAGGCCTGGCATATGTACTACAGCGTCTCCAGCGCTTTCGAACGGCAATGGCCGTGGCTGTCTCCTCCTGATTGGTGGAGTTGGCCCAATAGCCGTAGCGCCACCGTCCTGACGTCAGGACAGTGTTCAAATCTGGATCAGTTTTTATCAGATCCGTTGCAGCCCCTTTTTTAGAGATTTGGGTATGGAGGAAAATAGAGAGGGTTGTGTTTTCTGACACTTGGTGAGTTCCCTGGAACACCGGGGACACATATTCATGTAGAAAAGACGTGCATTTTGCATGATAGGTCCCCTTTAATGAAGCTTAATACACTTTGAATAAAAAGCCATAAACCATTTTCTTTGCCAGGTTAAGGAAAGAAAAAGTAAATGTATAAAGCTAGCAGCATTAAGCAAAGTAATAGCATTTCCATTCTTAAGCAGATGTGTGAACACAAAATAATGCAATGCAGAAGTGTTCAGTTCAGATGAAAAATACAGGGATTACAGTTCCCCTGTGTATCTGGCATTGGGTACATTTGTTTGTATTTAACTCATTGATATCTGTTTCCATTGCTGCCAGTTTAATCTAACCATGCTCAGTCATACCTGTTGGTGACGGTGTGGCGGTCCTTCATCTCCGACCTCTCGAACCAGACGTGAGGACAGGACCTGGACATGGACCTCTGGAGGACCCCCATCAGACCCCCGTGAACCTGACCCACCTGTTGGACCACAGACACCCCATCACTACACATAGAGTCCAATGCATTTTCTCTTGTTTTCCATGTGTACTTTTGAACTTCTGTTTTTTTATTACATGCCTCAGGTAAATTAGCATCTCTGCTAACCGTGTTTTTTTTTACATCTGGCATCTTTTTCTGTGAACTATACATTGATTCCAATTCCTGACTCGCGAAAGACTTGTTGCTGACTTGTTAAAGACTTGTTACTGACTTGTTAAAGACTTGTTACTGAGTTGTTCTAGTACAGGATGGTGATTCGTTAATATCTCGTTAAAGACTTGTTACTGACTTGTTAAAGACTTGTTACTGACTTGTTAAAGACTTGTTACTGACTTGTTAAAGACTTGTTACTGACTTGTTACTGACTTGTTCTAGTACAGGATGGTGATTCGTTAATATCTCGTTAAAGACTTGTTACTGACTTGTTACTGACTTGTTACTGACTTGTTACTGACTTGTTACTGACTTGTTCTAGTACAGGATGGTGATTCGTTAATGATTCGTTAATGACTCGTTACTGACTTATTCTGGACTTGTTACTGACTTGTTCTAGTACAGGATGGTGATTCGTTAATGTCTCGTTCAACACTTGTTACTGACTCGTTAAAGACTTGTTACTGACTCGTTAAAGACTTGTTACTGACTCGTTAAAGACTTGTTACTGACTCGTTCTAGTACAGGATGGTGATTCCTTAATGTCTCGTTAAAGACTTGTTACTGACTCGTTAAAGACTTGTTACTGACTCGTTAAAGACTTGTTACTGACTCGTTAAAGACTTGTTACTGACTCGTTAAAGACTTGTTACTGACTCGTTCTGGACTTGTTGTGGCACAGGATGGTGTATTTTGTCTTGTTTACTTCAGTGTATTCTGTATATTAGTCTATCCCTGTATAATCAGACGTAATGAAGACCCTCACCATGGCGTAGCAGCCGTCGTTGGCCAGGATCACGATATCAATGGGCGTCGTGTGATTGGCCACGCAGATCCCTCCTTTCTGAGGGCGATTCTCTCTGAGAGACACGAGGGAGCTCTGTTAGAGAGATCTGGGACAGGTTAGTGACTCGTTAATAACTAGCTAATGACTCGTTAAAGACTTGCTACTGACTTGTTGTGGTAAAGGTTAGTGACTCGTTAATAACTAGCTAATGACTCGTTAAAGACTTGCTACTGACTTGTTGTGGTACAGGATAGTGACTCGTTACATGTTATATGACTGGTTATTTACTTGTTATGGTAGAGGATGGTGACTCGTTAACAGAGATGGGGTCGTTACTCAAAAAATATATTACTTATTACTTTAAAAAAAAGTAATATATTACTTTACTTCGTTACTCACTACATAAAGTTACTTTACTCGCAGGGCCGCCCCTCCCTACAGGCAGATCACGCAGACTGCGGAGGGTGCTTCATTTTGCGGAGGGAGCCTCATCTGAAGCGCAAATGCGGCGCACCTACAGTGTCGCCGCTGCGAGGCTCCACTAGCACCCCCCCCCCTCCCCGTCAACGCTCGCGACACAGAGGGCCTCATCATATAACTTTGCGTGTTTGCTGTTTACTCGTTACTTTACTCGACATCCTCACTCTGGATTCGGAGGTCCTCCTGAGCTATTAGCTTCACGTTAGCATGTTGTCTTTGCAGGTGTTTGTTGAGGTTTGACGTTGTGTTTGCAGCAGTGGATAAAAGCTTCTGGCCTGGACACAGTTTGCACCTCACCGTCACATTCCTGTCCTTTCTTCGGACGAACTCAAAATAATGGGCAGACCTCCACCCCTCGAAAGTTATCGCTGTTGACTCAGCCATGTTTATGCACTGCATGTGGACGCGCAAGTCGCGCAAATGTTACGTAAATAAAAACCTGCGGCGGAAATCCCTCTTGTCTGTCAAAGGGAGAATCTAGTCATTCTTTATGTTAGTAACTGTAGTGTGATTACTGAATTATAAAAGTAACGCGTTACACCCAACTCTGCTCGTTAATGACTTGTTAAAGACTAGTTACTGACTTGTTGTGGTAAAGGGTAGTGACTTTTTAAAGACTTAATAAAGACTAGTTACTGACTTGTTGTGGTAAAGGGTAGTGACTTGTTAAAGACTTATTAAAGACTAGTTACTGACTTGTTGTGGTAAAGGGTAGTGACTTGTTAAAGACTTATTAAAGACTAGTTACTGACTTGTTATGGTAAAGGGTAGTGACTTGTTAAAGACTTATTAAAGACTAGTTACTGACTTGTTGTGGTAAAGGGTAGTGACTTGTTGAAGACTTATTAAAGACTAGTTACTGACTTGTTGTGGTAAAGGGTAGTGACTTGTTAAAGACTTATTAAAGATTAGTTACTGACTTGTTGTGGTAAAGGGTAGTGACTTGTTAAAGACTTATTAAAGACTAGTTACTGACTTGTTATGGTAAAGGGTAGTGACTTGTTAAAGACTTATTAAAGACTAGTTACTGACTTGTTATGGTAAAGGGTAGTGACTTGTTGAAGACTTATTAAAGACTAGTTACTGACTTGTTGTGGTAAAGGGTAGTGACTTGTTAAAGACTTGTTAAAGACTAGTTACTGACTTGTTGTGGTAAAGGGTAGTGACTTGTTACTGACTTGTTAAAGACTAGTTACTGACTTGTTGTGGTAAAGGGTAGTGACTTGTTACTGACTTGTTGTGGTACAGGATGGTGGCTGACAGTCCTCTGGCACAGACCCTGTAACAGGTCAGATGGACGAGTTCACTCAGCCAGTTCTTCACACTGAGGCACAGAACAGATATTATGATTATATTATATATATATATACAGTATATATTTATGTATATATATGCTGTGTATCTGTGTTTTTGTACCTGCTCTCCGGCAGCAGCCCCACCAGAACGGTTCCTATGACGAGCCAGGAGAGACCAATCACAGCCAGAGTGACCCTGAGAGACCAGATGGAGACACGTTGACCAATCAGCATCCTTCAGGTTAACTAGTGCTCCTTTTAGAGGCAGATCTGCAGGAATACGTCCTAAAACCGTTAAGGACTCGTTAAGGACTTGTTAAGGACTCGTTAAGGACTCGTTAAGGACTCGTTAAGGACTCGTTAAGGACCTGAATGGCAACAGCAGGCCGCCCCCCCAGAACAGGCTGATGTATCTGAAGTTCTGATTGTTACCTGACTCGTTAAAGACTCGTTAGTGACTCATTAAAGACTCGTTAATGACCTGAAAGGCAGCAGCAGGCCGTAGCGGACGAACACCCCGACCCCCCAGAACAGCGTGAGGCGCAGGCTGATGTATCTGAAGTTCTGGTTGTTTGTTACCTGACTCTTTAATGACTTGTTAAAGACTCGTTAGTGACTCATTAAAGACTAATTAATGACCTGAAAGGCAGCAGCAGGCCGTAGCGGACGAACACCCCGACCCCCCAGAACAGCGTGAGGCGCAGGCTGATGTATCTGAAGTTCTGGTTGGTTCTGGTCAGCAGGTTCCAGGAGTTGAGTTCCTCGGAGGAGAAGCGCTGAGTCACCGTATCGTCCACGATGCTCTCCAGCCCCGTTTGGTAGAAGAAGAGAGCGTCGCTGAGGGAGAAGAGACCGCCCGTCGGGGGGCCGTCGCCCCGCAGGCGCCCCACCCCCTCCTGCATGGAGCCCCCTCCACGCTCAATGATTCCTGTGGGAGAAACATTTGTTACTATAACTATAAAGTGTACTTGTTTGATGGGGTGTGAGCTGAGCTGTGTGGTTTGGTCTGGAGGTTTTAAAGCTGTATTGTAAGTGATTTATTTTTCTTTAGTTGTGTATTTGTATCTGATTTGTTTCTGTTTTTTATCAAGTTTTTCGTATTTTCTTCCATATTTTCTAAGCATTTTTACTATTTATTTATGTTTACTATAGTTATCAAATGTTTCCTTTTTATCAAGTTTTTTTCTTGTTATTCTCAGGCCCCCCTCCTGCATGGAGCCCCCCCCCCACGCTCAATGATTCCTGTGGGAGGAAACACAGAAATATTTTATACTATAATATATATATATAATATAATTGTTTTCTTTGATTTAGTCTTTTTTTAAATATTTTTTCAAGTTTTTCGTTTGTTTCCATATTTTTTAAGCATTTTTTATTATTTATTTATATTAACTATAATTATCACATCTGTTTGCTTTTTTCCTCTTGTTTTTTTCTTGTTTTTATTCTGTTTTAAATCATATTTTTAAACTAGTGTTTAATATTTCAAAAACATTTCAATTTGAAAATGTTCATAAAAACACTCTCAAATAAAAGAGTTAGTAGTTATGATAAAAAATGAGGAGGAAAGATTTACCTCAGATAAGATATTAATATATTAGATTTAGTCTTTTAGAGCTTATAAACGTATAAACTAATATTAATAATCAGCTTTGCATTAATGTAAAGTTAGTAGAGTAGTTTCTCTAACTGTGAGTGGAGCAGGAATGAAAGGGTTAACGAGTTCCAGTGAACTCTTGTTCCACTGAACTTATGCAACAGTACAAACACACACACACACACACACACACACACACACACACACACACACACACACACACACACACACACACACACACACACACACACACACACACACACACACACACACACACACACACACACAGCATCACATGATGACCCTCACACACACCACGTCCTCCTGAGAGGAAGTGCAGCTGCTCGGGTTAACCCCTGATGTGCAGCGAGTCTGGTTATTAATGAATATCTGAGTTTTCAAAGCCTAGAAAGAAACGCCACTGATTCCTTTAAATAAGTAATTACAAAATCTAATAAACGTAATCATGCTTTGTCTTACAAAATGTATTAAAACAATTGTTAGATGTTTTATATGTATTTTTATTTTTAAGCCTAAATCATGTATTTGTTTTTTCCCTTCTTGAATTGTTCTGTTGTAACCCCTAACCCAGAATGTAATATTATTGATCTAATCAACTGGTATTCTTTACATTTTGTACTGCATGTTGCACAGGGATATCTAGCCTATTGTTGGATGATATATTTGTTTTTATTATTCATTTGTATTTATATATGTGCGTGATTATTAACTAGTACACAAACTGCTGTTTTATTAAATTAGTCTTTTGTTTAAATGTATTTTCTTATATATATTTATAATTTATGTATTTCTTTTAATGTAGATATTTATTACTAATATTAATAATATGCCCATTTTTTTTTATTATGTATTTTATTTGTTATTTTTTATCCAATTTATTTTTTAATTTTAAGTGGATGCTGTATATTTATTCTTGATATTATTTCATGTGACTTTATTGTTATAGATTGTCATTATTTATTGAATTCATGCATTTATTCACGTATTTTCTCCACCCTCCCAGCGGCCCAATGAACCCCCTGATGACACCTCGTTAATGAGGGTCTTTATTGAGGGTCTCACCGTTGGGCAGAGGATCGGGAACGCCGCTCTGCTGCTCCCGTTCCCTCTGGATCCGGAGCGTCGCCCACTGCAAACACACTGGGATTACACACCACCTCCGACATGTTTCACAACTCGACATGTCGGGGAAAAGAGGGTTGAGGAGAACGAGGTTGCGGTCATACTGTCAGTTTCTCTCAGGAAGGTTCCTAACGGAGAGAAATGACCTGGAAGTTCCTCAGTGGCCGCCATGATAAGAGCTGATTCTCTACATCAGGGGGGTCTCACACAGAGACATATAAGAAGGGCTGGGCCACTCACTCGAGGTATACTGCCTCACAAGTGCAGTTATAAGTCAGCAAAATCAATCAAATGTAGGTATGCTTGTTACTTGAATATGCTTTAAGAAAGAACAGATCCCAGCTCTCCAGAGGGTTTGAACAGGAGCCACCAGATGTGTTACAATGTTTTTTAATGATTATATAATCATATCATCCGTCCCTAGAGTCTGTTGATGCTCTCCAGATTAACAGCAGCATGAAAATAACCTGCCGATGCTCCATGGTGGAGGCTACGGTAGCAATTTAGTTTTTACCCCCTTAAAGTCTGACCAATGGCTGAACAGCATTTCAAACAGCAAAGTAACAAACTGTCGTCTGGTGCAAAGAAGCGGACTTTAGGTGTGAATGCAACCTCACTGTTTCAGATAAACGTCTATATTTCAAGACCAGATTTATTGAAGGTTTTAGACAACTTGAGAAAACTTCCAACGACCACACCAGACTCAGAGTAAACAGTTTATCAGTGGTTTTACTGGGACGGCACCAGCCTCAGTTTTGCTTATTAAAAAAGTACATTTTCATGCTTTTTGTAAGATTTATTATTGATATTTAATAGGGATGTATCTCCTCCATCAGAGCAACACAATCACACAGATAAAATAGTTCAAATAGTGCAAGTAAATCAAATCAAATAGAATAGATGTATCACCCATTCACACCAGACTCAATGCAGTTTACAGTACATTTAAAAGAGGTTTTAATTTTGTATATATATTTGGGGGGACACATGTTGATGTAGAAGAGACATGAAGAAGAGGGGACACATGTTGATGTAGAAGAGACATGAAGAAGAGGGGACACATGTTGATGTAGAAGAGACATGAAGAAGAGGGGACACATGTTGATGTAGAAGAGACATGAAGAAGAGGGGACACATGTTGATGTAGAAGAGACATGAAGAAGAGGGGACACATGTTGATGTAGAAGAGACATGAAGAAGAGGGGACACATGTTGATGTAGAAGAGACATGAAGAAGAGGGGACACATGTTGATGAAGAAGAGACATGAAGAAGAGGGGACACATGTTGATGAAGAAGAGACATGAAGAAGAGGAGACACATGTTGATGAAGAAGAGACATGAAGAAGAGGGGACACATGTTGATGTAGAAGAGACATGAAGAAGAGGGGACACATGTTGATGAAGAAGAGACATGAAGAAGAGGGGACACATGTTGATGTAGAAGAGACATGAAGAAGTGGATTTTGTGTAAGTAAATAGAAGTAGAATAGAATAGAATGTCACCTCCAGGATGTGGACCAGGCCCTGGATGTAGACCCCGGTGACCCCCAGAGAGAGGCCGAACATGGCGGGTAACATGATGAGGAACAGAACCACAAACATCCACAGCTGGAAGAACCACACCGCAACACCCTCCATCACTGGGGGGGGGTCACGCCATCACCTGCAGAACCACAGAACCACAGAACAGGAGAACCAGAGAACCAGAGAACCAGAACAGGAGAACCAGAGAACCAGAGAACCAGAGAACCAGAGAACCAGAGAACCAGAGAACCAGAGAACCAGAACAGGAGAACCAGAGCGTTATGCTAATTAAAAAAGTAAATGTTCATGCTTTTTATTAATATGTATTAATGATATTTGAATCGGGTGTATCTCTATAACCTCCTGCAAACATGTTACTGTTTCTTTTATCAAAGTAAAGGCTTATAGAATATTATAAATATGCAATTTGACTAAACCAAAAGGTACTTTAATTGAGTATTGTATAGCAAAGGGTTAAATATTGTACTTTTATTTCCGATTTTTTTTGTCCAAAAAACGTGATTACCTTAAATAAATAACTGTATTTATATATCTTTACTATGTATTATAGCTTTATAAACAGTAGGTCATAAAAAGGAGCTCCAACAGCTTTTACATTCAAATGCTGTTTACATCATTATGATATTTACCATTCTTAGTGGGACATTGTGTATAATTCATAGTATTGACAGTACATTTATCTGATAATACTCCTGGACCTTGTTTTTGATTACTTTTACATTATTATATTTGTATTTATAGTAAAAAAAACTTGTATTTTAAGTGGATGCACTTCCACATGTTGACACCAGCTGCAGGAAAAGTACTAGCAGTCCCGTTAGACGGAGTTATGTAAAGAGAACTGAAGAACTAACAGCAGGGACACAAACAACAACTACTTATATAACATGTATTTGTGTATATATATATATATATATATATATATATATATATATATATATATATATTTACCTGGTATTCGGTGAATCTGTCCCAGTTAGAGTTTGATTCCCAGTTGGATCAGAGAAGCTGGTTTTCTTTCCTAACATGCAGAGAGTAAGCGGACCCTAAGCCCCGCCCCTTTTATGGAAGACCAACTGTGCCAAAGAGAGGGGAATAACATCATGTGATAATGAGAAAATAATATATATTTAATAACTTAGAATCTCAAAATAACCACAAATTATGAGATATTATTCCACAATAATTACAAAATGTTGCCAAAATATTTATTATTGAAAAGATTATTAGTAATCGGCAAATTAAAGACTTAGTATCTCAAAACAATCACTTGGTTTCGCACAAATAATGAGCTAGTATATCAAAATGAAGAGTTAAAACATGGATAAGTATCTCTTAGTTCTTACTTAGTATCTCACTAATTATTTCCAGAATGTTTCTCATTATATTGGTATACCAAGTCATCTTTTGATTTAACTTTGTATAACATATTTTAATGTTTATTAGGTTTTAATTGTTATTCTCCAATACAAAATCATTATTTTTAGATACTTAGAATAATGCAATTGTTGTTTTCACAAAGTTGCAAACATTATTAATGATATTGCAAAGTTTAATAATGATTTAAACACATACTCTGTTTATTATTGCACTTTTATTAAATATCTGCGCTTTCCTTAACGATCGGGGTTTGAAGCTTTTTGTTTTTTGCACTTATTGTTACAGCTAAATTAAATGTAATGTGTAATGTAATAATATTGCAATATTTTGAAACTAAGGTATTCATTTCAGAAAGTTTCTTATACATTTGTCAAAGTTTGTCATCAAAATATCTCATAAGTTAGTTGTTTTCATCACAATATGACCCCGTAGAGACGCTCCTGACGTCACCACAGTGAAGAACAACAACAGAGATGGCGGATATATTGTTTTGTTATTTATTTAGATAATCTATTGTATTTTTCACTGGTCAGACAAATAAGGATTCTTTTCCTTTTTTTATTTTAGATATTTATTATTATTTTGTGTAGTTTTTTTAATTGTGTATTGTTTATGCGACATTGCATTTTATTTATATGACTCAGACAAGTATTTTATTAACGTGTTTGTAATTGTTTTAATTGAGATATTATATTTTTATTTTATTTCTAAAAAATCCAAATATTTGGATTAGACATCTAAGGAATAAAACAAATATTTTATTGGTAATACTTTATATTAAGGTACATATTCACCATCAACTAGTTGTTAATTAAAATGCATATTAGCAGTATATTGGCTCTTTATTAGTCATTATAAAGCACTTATTAATGCCTTATTCTACATGACCGTATTCTACAAGTAATAAGCCATTAGTTGAGAGTTTTTCCTCAAAAACCCTCTAATTAGTGCTGATTTGTTGCAAGTAAGGAAGTTGTTGAACATGAGTTTGGGTCTAAATATGCTCTGATCAATATGGGCCTAATGAGGCAGTAGTACCACAAGAATAGTAATTCTCCCAAAATAACACTTATCAAATATGGTATATTCTTATGTAACAAGACGTGAAACTATAAGTGTTAATTGTGTCTAAATAACTCAAAATTAGGTATTTCTATCTAAGAATATGTTTTGGGGTATTGACCGTTCAGCTACCAATAGCAAGGTGATATTGACCTGTATGTTTCATATTTGCACATTTATATTTTGTAAAATGTGTACTGAAGGTTAGACAGGAAACCGGGTACAGGAAGTAGGAGAAAGTGAACTGAACAGCATGGCAGTAGACATCCATGAGTAGACTGCTACTAATTGTCCCTTTGCAACCTGAAGAGTAAAAGGGTCAAGTCTGTCAGAAAGCAATGACTGTAAGTGTAAGTCTTACAGTGTAAGCCTTACACTTACACTGTAAGGATTAGTAACATGTATTGTGTTTATGTGATGACATTTGGAGATGTTTAAACTCAATGAGAAAATATGTTAGCATTCGCGCTAGCATTTGCATGCTCCTTTATTGAATTATTTGCAGTCCACTGACATTCAAACGGAGTGAAACTATACAAAAAGAAGTTACAAGATCTCATACATGCAAGTGTAACATACACAGATTAACACTTAGGACCGCTAAGTGTAAACAAGGTAAATATAGCTAATGCTAGCTGTGCAATAAGCATGTATACAAGCTAGTATGGCTAACGGTAGTATATATATGCTAACGCTTCCGTGTATGCTAACGCTAGCGGGAATGCAAATGCTAGCGCGAATGCTAACACATTTTCTCATTGAGTTTAAACATCTCCAAATGTCATCACATAAACACAATACATGTTACTAATCCTTACAGTGTAAGTGTAAGGCTTACACTGTAAGACTTACACTTACAGGCATTGCTTTCTGACGGACTTGACCCTTTACTCTTCAGGTTGCATAGGGACAATTAGTAGCAGTCTACTCATGGATGTCTACTGCCATGCTGTTCAGTTCACTTTTTCCTACTTCCTGTACCCGGTTTCCTGTCTAACCTTCAGTACAAATGTTACAAATATATAAATGTGCAAATATGAAACATACAGGTCAATATCACCTTGCTATTGGTAGCTGAACTGTCAATACCCCAAAACATATTCTTAGATAGAAATACCTAATTTTGAGTTATTTAGACACAATTAACACTTATAGTTTCACGTCTTGTTACATAAGAATATACCATATTTGATAAGTGTTATTATGGGAGAATTACTATTCTTGTGGTACTGCTGCCTCATTAGGCCCATATTGATCAGAGCATATTTAGACCCAAACTCATGTTCAACAACTTCCTTACTTGCAACAAATCAGCACTAATTAGAGGGTTATTGAGGAAAAACTCAACTAATGGCTTATTACTTGTAGAATACGGTCATGTAGAATAAGGCATTAATAAGTGTTTTATAATGACTAATAAAGAGCCAATACACTGCTAATATGCATGTTAATTAACAACTAGTTGATGGTGAATGTGTACCTTAATATAAAGTGTTACCATACATTTTATTTATTGTATTTATTTATGAAAAATATATATCTTTAAAATGTTTTAAAAAACCTTATTTGTACTAAAGGCACATGACCCAACCAGTGATGAGAGCAAGCAGCGTGTTGCACAACGTCTGCAGCCTCATATCAGCCTGAACATCAGAGACTGTGTGTGTGTGTGTGTGTGTGTGTGTGTGTGTGTGTGTGTGTGTGTGTGTGTGTGTGTGTGTGTGTGCGTGTGTGTGTGTGTGTGTTTGTGTGTGTGTGTGTGTGTGTGTGTGTGTGTGACTCTGACAGCCTGGTGTCATGAAAACAGGAAACCAACAGTTTCTGTAATCTGTAAACCATCAGCATCTTCGTCATCAGTTCCTCAGAAAAGCAGCTCAGAGAAGTTAGAGACAGTATTATATAAACTTTAATATCATCTGTAAAGGACCCGTTCAACACAGACAGAGACAGAGAGACTCAGAATGTCCTCAACATGTCCTCTAACTCTTTCTGCGTCTATAGAACTGAACCACTGAGCAAACTGAAGACCTGGCCGACAGATGACCCTGATCATGTGACAGATAACCCTGATCATGTGACAGAGACTCTCTGTAGAGGCCTTCACACACCGGGGAGATTTGTCCAAAACAAGGTCCATTTCCCTGAGACTTCAGCTAAAGGCAACAACACGTCACATTGACTCTATTTTACAGTTTGTTTTGTTAGAAATTAAAATCAATGTTAAACAGCATAATTCAGTCTAAAATATATCGTCAGTTTAAAGCTGTTTTATTGTGGAAAAAACCCGGAAGTTCTCAGGAAATCAATGCCAAGCTTTTATTCTGAAAATCCTTTATCCGGTTAGCATGTGACTAAATATTACGTTTTCTGAATGTAAAGTGAAAATGACTTGGAGTGTTACACACCAAATCGTACGGACTTTAACACTACATCGATAGACGTTAAGATATTATTACTGCTGAATATTAAATGAAGGAACAGTTGATCATGGAGTGTTTACACATTACGTGAGTAGCTATGACGTCAGAGGGATCTACCGTAAATGAGAACTGTGTCGTAAAAGTGTTTCTAGGACTTCTAAACTAACGATTACAGCTGTTTATAAGGTATTAAATAGAAAGTCATGACAGAGATAAGGAGGAGAGAATGCTTAAGGAAATAGGCAAAGAATACCAATGTCGAAATCATCTGTGCTCTCGCGATATCGAACCCACAAGATGAGAAGGGCGGTCCCACTATCTTCACAGCGGGGGACAACGAGACGTGGATAAAAATACAGGACGGAAGATAACTCAGTCCCTTTCCTTCGCTGCAGCCTCCCTGAAGACAACACCGGCTTTGTCTCTCCATTACCCATGCTTGTTCTTTAACCACGTTACTTAATTAAACTAGCCATTTGAACCTTTTCAGAGACTCCATTAGTCTCGTTATTTTAAGTTTCTTTCCTGGGAGCGAGAAGATCACGATTTATCAACATTTGGTGCCCCAGACATGTGATCTCGACACTGGGAGAGAAACCGCTAGTTTCGACGGAGATTCTGCGAACCAAAAGACACACAAAGGGCCCATATACAAACGGTAAGAAGAAGCCAGTTATATCAAATTCTTCAATAGCTTATATAGAACCATTTAGATTTGTGTGTTTTGTGGCGAGCAGGACATCCTGAGAACAGCTGTTAATTTAATGTTAAATATCTAAATTTAAACCAAACCACGTGGCGTTGTTTTACACCAAGCAAGGGTAAGTCTCTATTCCTTTCTTTGTTCATTAACCAACTGCATGATTATAATGTGTGTGTTTTCCAAGCCGGATATATTAATGTGCTTTTAAGCCGGTATTTATATAATCTTTTAAAAAAAAAAAAAATTTAAAAATTAAAAAAAAAAATAAAATAAAAAAAATAAAAAAATCCCAGATATTGAAGTTAAGTTCGGATGACATAGGATATTTGTTATCAGGAGCGAAGGTACTATTCAGTAGATTAGTGATTCATCTTTGATACATTTAAGGACTATATCCAACTACTTATTATATTGTGTTTGACGACTTATAGATGGACTCTTGTCGTTTTGTATATTCTCAAGACAGA